TACTATCTGGTTCCATCTAGTGGTCAGTCCTGGTAATGCACCTTGGGAACATGTATTTCTACAGTATTCTGTTGTGTTCTTAATTTTTTTTCCCAGACAGTGGATAAGTGAAACAGCGGGTACCGATCCCATGGATATGGCATTTCCACTTCATTGGGGAGCTGTGGCCAATGGCCAGTAAGTCAAGGGAGCCATGAGTCGAAAAATGTTGGGAACCACTGGCCTATCCCATAGTGAAAGATGGTCAGAGCTGCAATACCTGAAGTGCTAAAGATGCCCATTCCTGCTCTAGATACCTAGATAAACTAGGTATGAAAATATAAGTATGTCCAACCCATACATACTTGAGATAAATAACAACTACAATGTAATTGCCCAAGTATTTTTAAGTGCATCCAGGTTTAATACAGCACAAAGCTCATAGTTTGAGGTACATTCTGAAAGGTAATTTCTACCTCTTCCTGTAAGATTTTTTTCCATTCCAAATAATTTTGTTAAAAAGGAATCAGACTATATGCATCTTTCCATTTAGATGAACCCCAAGCACATGACAAAACATACTCTGAATGTACGTTTTCATACACTTCTCAAATCTTTTTTTTGTGGGGGGGGGACTTCATCTCTTCCCTCAAGGTGTTCTGGAATACCTTAATGAGAGAGCAATGAGTTTCAGAACAGTAGGATCTTTTCCACAAAATGTGACATAAGACTTCCAGACACAGTTTATCTGTGTAGGTGCAGAACTTTTTACTCATAGCAGATGCTCAGATGTTATAACATGACAGTCATTTGGTCAAGTTCATGAAGTATATTAAAACAAGCATTCAATAAGGACTTCTGGTGTTCCAACTATAGAGGAATGAAGCAGAAACATTTCTCACATATATTGTACTCTTACTGTTCTCTGTAATATCTGAAACGGAACTGTTACTTTTTCCTATAGCAAAATGTGCACACTGACCTCAATTCAGAAACTGGCCAGGTTACCACAGGAACTCAAACATCATAAAAAAGTGGGGAGCAGAGAAAGAATGAGTCAGCTGTCCTTTTATATCCTTGCAGCTATTTACACGATCACTGTTCCTAAAATAGTAATCCCTTAGAATCTGCCTGCATGGATTTTTTTTTCAGTCAAAAGAGATGAATTCTTGATAGGTGCATGGGGGGTCTAGATTTGACTGACTGTACTTTATAATGCAATCAAAGTTACAGACTCATTTGAAAAAGAGCAACAGTATTTGAGTGAAAGAGGAGAATCCTGAAGCAACTAGGGATTCCTTGCTTTTGTAATTTTTTTTCAAATTCAGTATGAATAGTCTTGAGTTAAAATGCTCCTGTTCTCTGTAACTAAGCTGTTTGAGTAAATGTGTGTTGATTAATTTTTTTTGCAAAAAATAATTGTCCCATATTCAGAGTTGAACATTTGGTATGTTCATTTTAAAAAAATATCCAAAGTATAAAGGTATTTCAGCTCTTGTCTAGTGACCTTACTGCACGTTTTTAATACAAGCATAATGTAGTCTGAAAGGACAACAATAAGAATTGGGGAGTGAATATGGAAAAGAGCAAGCCACTAAGAATAGTTGGAAATCATTACAGAGTTGGCCATACCAAATGCCTGTCAAAAGAAAAATCTTCAAAAAAATTGCTAACTGAACCATACTCATTCCCTCTCCTTAAAAACATCCCCACTCTTTCGGAATGACAAAGTAGTAAGACCTGCTCAAAAACTGCTTCAAAATGAAATTCTGGGTGTAAATGATATTTACTCCAGTTAAAAATCAAAGCAGCAACCCTGTCTCAGCTACTCAGTCTTGTCCCACCCTATCACCCAAGCTTTCGTTTCTTTGGACTTTCTCCACCTTCATTCTTCTTTTCAGCAGGCCTTTTCTTTAAACCTTTCATTTTCCGAGTTTGCAACTTATCCAGATCCTGTTTCTGCATGTGGATCCGCCCATATTTTGTACCAAAGACATCATGGGAAATATTTTTCTTCTTCTTTGGCTAGAAACAAAAGGAAGTGCCATTCAGATCTTTAGAACGACAGCTATCATTTGTGTAATACCACCAAGCTGCCAGAAAAATTTCGCAATTTAAAAGCAGCTGCATTTTGAATTCAAACCACAGGCAAAGTTGTCCTGACAATTTTGAGAAATAAAAATTGTGACTTATATAGTACTGTACTAATGGTGGCGAATGGGCATTCATCAGGTAAACACATTTATATCTCAAATGAAGATCCAAGAGCAGAAACTCTCTAAATTAAATCACATGCAATAAACTCTAGGATAAACTTGGGATCCAATACTACTTAAAACATTCAAATTGTACCTGATGCCACAGAATCTTAAAAAAACCCTTAAGATAAAGATAATAGGAAAAGAAGGGTTGCAATTAAATTAATGGGTGAGCTGGAGAACGGGGTGGTTTGTTAATATGGAATGAGAAAATGGGCAAATATTGCACATGTATACATTTAGGACATATCTGGAATGAAAGATCCACAGTCCTTTTTCTTACAGAAATGTTTTCAGAAGTATAAAGATCTTCCATACCTTAAGAGCTTTGGGCTGCTTTAGAGATAACTTATAAAGATCATCTGATGCCAAATGTGTTCTCCTCATCACCAAGTCTAGTGAGGGTCCCATTTCTTCAAGTTCAATCCTTGGTATTTTGCAACCAGACTTTTTCAACAATACTCTAAAAATGAAGAAAATGAAAGCATTCCTCTCATCCAACTGTCTTGTCTGGAATCTGGAAATCATGCCTCACAGCAAACTTCCATCTGCCTTTTGAAGTGAATGGCAACAAAACCAAAGTATGTGTTGTTCCTGAACACAGAGTAGACCAGCTCAATATGTGGATGGAAGCTTGCCTCCCACATGAAAGGGGATTTGCCACACTTGCCAAAGCTTGGAAAAGACTGCTTTTATAGACTGTAATTCCCAAAGCCTTGGTCCCTATACAAGTCAAAGTCCACAGAGTTCAACATCCTGATAAACTAAGTGTTCAAGTATTTCCTCTATGAACTTTGTGGTTTAATACAACACATATGTCAATCAGCTCATCTGTGCTAAGATGCCTGGGTAACTACTGTTTTTTTCATGACCTCAGGTAAGATGTTGATATTTTCTGCAGTTCAATTCCCTCTTACTCCACTCATTACGTCACCCACCTACTGAAACATGTACATAATAATCTGCCAGCTTCAGGAACTCTTCATACATCTGATGGAGTAAGCTGCACTCTATGAAAGCATACAGCAGATATATTTAAGGTGCCATAAGGAAAGTAGAAATGTTTGTGATCACAAACATCTTACTTGTATTGTTCAAACAAACAATAAAACATATTCAGAATTATTAAAAATGCAGGCATAAGACTTTGCTTATTTGCATACCAGTATATGGACAAAATGTCATGTTCCAGCTTGATTCTATGACACACTGTAATCCAAGCAGTGAACATCACAAAACGTCAAGCTTTAGTAAGTGTATTACTGCTATACATAGTGGCCCAAACCAACCATCACACAGACTTACTTGTAACTTCTCATAAAGATTTTTTCATCCACAGCTGTGAAGTGAAGAACATGTTCTAAGCCTGCCAAACGAATATTGGGCACAACAGGGCCTCTGAAGAAATCTAAAAGAGGAAAAAGAGCCAGAATTGTTTTTTGATAATGGCAAACAGAAAGAAATGTAATACAGTTGTGTCTCGCAAGACAAATGCCTTGCAGGACAAAAAACTCGCAAAGATAAATGTTCCTATGGCTGTGCTTCGCAAGAAGAATCTTTTCCGATTTTTGTTCCTGCCTCATATTTGCTGATTTTTAAATGTTTTTCTATGATGTTTAAAAAGTTAGTTTTTTGACTGAAATTTTTTAAATCATCTGCACAATATGTATGGCTTTAAAGAGCACTTAATAAACCCTTTGCAAACCAAATTTGACTTTGTTCTGACTTTTTTGCCCATAGGAACACATTAATTAGATTTCAATGCATTCCTATGGGAAAACGCATTTCGCAAGATGAATTTTTCGCAAGACAACTTAGCTTGCGAGGCACCACTGTGTTTGAAACTGGCAGAGTAAGCCTGTCACAGGAGTAACATGTTTGCAAATACAGTGGTGCCTCGCTTAGCGATCGCTCCGTTGAGCGACAAAATCACTTAGCGATGGTCCTTATGGGGAAAATTTGCTTTGCGATGATCATGGGGAAGAGATCATCGCAAAGCACCCATTTTCGGCCAGCTGATCGGCGGTTTCAAAATGGCTGCCGGGTAAACAAAATGGCCACCCGCTGTTTTGCCTCGCTTAAGAGGCAGCGAAAATGGCGGCGCTATGGAGGATTTTCGCTGAAAGGTAAGTTTTTGAGCCCATAGGAACGCATTAAACGTGTTTTAATGCATTTCTATGGGCTTTTAAATGAAATCGCTTAGCGACGTTTTTTCCAGAACGGATTAACGTCGCTAAGCGAGCCACCACTGTACCCGCTAGGCCTATATAGCTCAGCTCACAGTATTTTATCTCCCAAGCAGAGCAGTTCCTTTAGTCAAAGCACTGCTGAACTTTCTGCAGTGGAATTTCACAAGCGTGCCTGGCCTGTGCTTACCTTTCCAAGAGTTATTTGCATTCTAACCTCAGAGAAGCGGGGGACAGAGAAAGCAGGAGCAGGCGCTCCTGAGGACAGTCAGCCACCAAGAAACAGACTGGGCAGTGAGAAACTTCCCTGAGAAATGCTTTCTCTAGCTCTGGTTAGTCATTAACATTCCAGAACCCGTACCACGTGAGCAGTTTGCTAGCCTCAGATCACCACAATATGAGGATGGTGACTAATATGTACAGTGCTTTGCACTAAATGGGGCAATTTAAGAAATCTAGGAAGCAAATAAATAAATAAATAAATAAATAAACAAACAAACAAACAAACAAACAAACAAACAAAGGATAACTACTGCTATCTGTGCAGGCTCTCCAAACAAATGGGGGCTCTAGAAAATCATGGTTCCAATTCATGTGGCCCCATGGACCGTGGCAGCTCTCCTGTTCAGACTCATAATCCTCCACACATTCTGGGCAACAGACATGATGATGGTCTGGAACTGCAGTGCTCTTTCGATGAGAAGTGAACATTAATAGGGCTTCCCTCCATGTGTCAAGATGTACTGCATCTCTAAAACTGAGAAAGTACCCTTGTGAAACATTTTGGGGTATGACTGGCCTCACACTCAAAATAACCAAAACTACCGGTACTATCTTTGTTGCTCCATTCTTGAACAGGGCAACATTCTTGAATAGGTCACTGCCAGGAATAGTAAACAGAGTGCCTCTATCTCAAAATGACGACAGATTGCTGGAATACAGCCTCAGAATGAAAAGCTGGGAAGTTTTGCCCACACACACTATCACGACCCACTGTACCGCCACCCCTGCATTAAGATCCTTCACTGGCAGTAGGTATACACCTTCCTTCTTTGAACCAATAAAGAAGGTGGTCATGACTCTGTGGGTAATAAACAGATAGCAACAAACCAACATTCATGGATCCCTGAGTAAGGTGACCATGCACAAGTGACAAGAGACATGCACAAGTGATTACTCTGAATTCACGTGGGCAAAGAAGGGTGAAAGAGTGGTCCATAAATGTTTACTGAATAATGTTGTCCATTTTCAATGTTAATTGAAATTCGAACTGAAAGAGCACAAAACCATTCACATCTTTGAAACACAGTATTTTTGCCTGACTTCCAAAATTAAATCAGGCTGTTCTTTCTCTCAGGCTCTTTTCCACAAAGACACCAGCTGAACTGCAGATACTAATACACAAGTGTGCTGTAAATGCAACAATGCCTTCCCCTCCCAGATTTCACACACTGATTGCAGCTACAGGTCTGGATAAATAAAATCCATGTAACAACACTTATGCCTTTTACAGTTACTGAAGCACAAAACATGTAAAGCAACAGTAAAAACAAAATGGGGCTTAAATGTCTTCCACGTATTAAAAATTAACCTTATATATATATATTTATATAGCACCAAGTGATGTAGAATAAGGTGCTAGGTTTTCAGTATTGATTTTGTTCACAGTTTCCTGGAACTATGGGCTGTGGGGGCAGAGTATCAGCGGAATTCTGGATTTTATTTATGGACCAAAGTGATTTCTTCTGGAGTTTCTGTTCTGGCCGTATAAAGAAATCTTACAACTCTTAATGCTTATACCATATTCCTCCATTTATAAGATGACCCCCCCCCCTTTATAACCCCAAATTAGAAAAAAACAAGGCTCAAAGGGCTCCCTTTTTGCTAAGCCCTGTTGCCTTGGCCTTCCTTTTTGCTAAACCCCGCACACTCTTGCCCTTTGAGAAGAAATGGAGCTTAGCAAAAAGGAAGGGAGAAATGCCTCCCCTTCCTTTTTGCTAAGCCCTGTGCCTTCACAAAACACAGCAGTAAAGAGCTGCCTTCTGTGTATAAAACGACCCTCAATTTTTTGTCACATTTAAGGAAAAAGTGTCATTTTACACACGGAAAATACGGTAATTTAGATCAAATGCCATCTGCATAGTGAAAAGGAGGAGGAAAAGCCAATGAATATGTGTAGATTCTGGCACTGATGATCTTTGCTTGCAAGCTCTTGCAAGCAATCTTTGCTTGCAAGCACTTTAATGGAGCTTGCAAGCAAAACTCACTAAGGATTTGGATTGCATTGTCAGCCAAGAACACAGAAAGAATGTAGCGCTGAACTCAAATATGTGTCAAGTTAATAATCATAATAAAAAGAATAAATATTTAAGTAAGAAAATACAACATAGCGTCCATAATATTAAATTCTCTCTACCAGATCCAATCCTCAGATTAATGAATCCACTTTATTTTTCTTAGTGTTCCTCAGAATTTCAGGTATGCAGAGGCAGAGAGTCCATTTATAAGAAGGGTGGAGAACTTTTCAAATTAGTACATAAATCGTATAAAGAAAACAGAACAAGGTTAATACAAAACCAAATTCAACAGAAGAAAAAATACTTTGAAAATGTAGGCATGACAAAAGGTAATCATGTCCAGATAAATATAAATATAGAGTCATGGAAAAAAAATGGGACAATGGCCTTTATCTTTCTAATATTGCAATATAGGGATAAAAAATATAGATAAAAATCAACACAATATAGATAAAAATTGCAATATAGATAAAAAATCAATGATTTTTAAAAAAACATGGTTTAAATTTTAAAAATCCATGTTTTGATTTACATTGTCAAAAAGTCCAATTTAAATCATGATTTAAGTTGATTGCATTTAAATCAAATCCACCCTGTTGCAATAACAATCTTTTCAGCTGTAGTAATCCATTTCCACTATGAGTTAATTTCCAAGAAAAGGTAGATAATTTAAGAAAATGTGTACATCTGCAAAGTACAAAGATTACACAAATACAAAATTAATGTATGTAATAATCTGTCACAACTGGAGCTATAATTGGACATAACCAGACCATTTATTTAACAGATATTATCATGAATACTGCAGTGTCAGCAATTTGCCAGTTTAGTCAAAGATTTCTTGAAAAGGTAACGTGACATAATTTTTTTTCTGAATTAAGTCACTGCTTCAGATCCACAGATACAGCAGGACCACTGATAAGACAAAACAGAACAACCAGGAGTGCAAGACATTGTTCAGACTGTACTGGGACTCCTACCCTGCTATGCATCACCATTGTATGGGAGTCAAGGTTGACAAACTGGAGGCCGTAAGTTGTTCAACTGATTCATAAAACCAAAAACATAAAGTTCAAATGTTCTTTTCAGCATTTCTAGATTTCTAAATGGGCTAATTTCCAGGAAAGTAGAGAAAAATATTTTCTTGACATTTTAATGTCAAAGGCTATGACTGAGACTCTATGGAGGCAGCTTTCGAAATAATATTTCCTAATGTTTTTGGCACCTAACCCTTAAATGGCACTATTCCATACCATCATATCAACATATTCTTTGTTATATAAAAATCCATGTAAGGGCTTTTAGTCTCTGGAAATTAAAAACAAACCCAAGACATGTTATCTGTCTTCCCAGGTTCTTGCCAGCTTCAATCCTAACTTCCCGCCCCCTCAGTTTGGTTAATAGTTCATGCTTCTGCAAAATTAGTGTTAAAAGGCAAGAATTTTACCCAATAAACAGTATTTTGGAGGAGTCTTTGTTCAAGCTTGCCAAATAAAAATCTGTACTGGAGAAAATCTCTCTCTCCAATGCCTGTGACAAACTTGGCAACTCACAGCTGGCTGCTGACCTTATCAAACATGAGATAGCCAAGTGAGCATCTGTTCATATGGAGAAGGGAGTAAACTCAGCAATGTCAACAAGGAGTGCCTGCATTTAAGGTTTAGAAGTATCCAACATTTATTAAACACTGTACCTGTTTAACATTTACAATGCAACATATGGTTATATATTTTAAAAAACAGATTTAAGTGGGCCAGATCCAGTCTTTTGCTGCAGCACGTCTCATGGGTAAGTCTTCCCAGCATATTGCTATTGTACAACAGAGATTTGTAGCCTGCATAAGGGCAAATTTCAAAGTCAGCCTATGACTGACAAATCTACAGAATCCTGGGTGTTTCTTAAAAACACTGATATACAGTGGTGCC